TTATTTCATTTTCTATACTTCCCTGTATTTACTTAATGTCTTAAAAATAAATGCTTTAATTGGAGTTTCTCACAAGTACAGGGTCTCCTTTACTGGGAAATAAGATAAATACTATTCTTACATATAGGACATGATGAATCAACACATTTCTGGTTAGTCTTTGAATGAGTTTATTTGTCTATTTTCATTAATTTATGTTCAATATACAGAGCCATTTAAGTATAGATGTAAAAAAGACATGATTTAGAACAGGGCTGAAGGCTCAAAAGAACTGTAGTTCCTAGTTCTGACTGAAAATAAGAACTAACAATGACCATCAAGAACAGGGCCGGCCGAGTGGCGCTTTGGTTTAAGAGCTGGCTTGGGACACCAGCTCTGAGCAACAGGGCCTGGGTTCGGATCCCACCTGGGGGCCAGTGACACTGCCCTCTACAGCTAAGATGCTGAACAACAGCTTGACCTGGAGCTGGGCTGCAGTGAGTCGCCGGCGCCAGCGTAGACTGCAGCCCCTGCTGTAGTGGGCTGCTGTGAGCTACCGTGGCCGGCAGCCGTGAAGAGCTGCCATAAGCGGCTGTCCAGAGGCCGGCGACCGATCTGCCTCGCCCGGGAAGAGCGCAATGATGGTGCCAACTTGGGTCAATGAAGCAACGTCCTCCACAACTAGACTGAAGAACAAAAGGACAGCAACTTGTCTGTTCCCCTTCCCCCAATTCCCCAGCACTGTTCCCATCCCCCAATTCCCCAATAAAATCTTTAAAAAAAAAAAAGATCAATGAGCACCCCTATCATGCAGACTGTGGCCTATAAATACCTTTTCCACTGAAGAGGAACCAGGGATCATTGGAGAAATGACTGCTTCCAGGCCTGGGATAGGAAATGTGCAAGATAAAATGGAACAAAATACTGAGACTGAGTGAAATCTCAGGAGCTGAGTTAAAGGGGCTCCCACTGGCTAAAACTGAGGCAATCGATAAACAATAACAATGGGTTGAAAGACAAATATGTTTAGATCCGAGTTCATAATGATACTTAAAAACAAAATTTACTAGTCACTTTTGGAGGACACGAGGAAAACATTATTTTGAAAACTAGTAAGTCAAAGAAATTACATATTTATCTCTTGCTTTTCCTATGCAAATTATCCCCCAGGGTAACTAAATAGTTGATGAGGGGATATTTCTCCTTCTAGAAGTAATCCAGCTAATAATTAAAGAAAGAATGGCAGAATTAAACTATTTTGCAATCCCAAATGAAATGAATCTAGGTCTTGACCATCAAATGGCTACAAGATCACAAAAAGAGACAATCAGACACTAGTGCTCCTGGAGTCCACACCAGGTTAATGAAACATTCTTGCCAGAAAATTCCAATCTAAATGTGATCAAGCCTCTGGATCAGCCTTGTCGAATAGGAATGAGAGCCATATGTGCAACTGTACATCTCAAAACTCAATTGCAATTCAAACTCCCAATTTCACACATAGCTACCATATCAGACAATACAGCTCTAACCACTAAATTATAAAAATTATGGGAACAGGGGAACATGCTATCACAAGGATGCAATTAGCAAAATCCAGACTGGGAATTCTTCAAAAATTGGGCAAAAAATGACCTGATTTCTTCAAGTAGTAAACTACAAGGGGGAGTGTACAGGAGTTAGCAGGAGAGAGACTACTATTGAGTATTAGAAAGAACACACCTATCAATGAACAATACACAAATTGCATCTAGATCTTGATTTGAACAAAGTGTAAAACACATTTATGAGATAAGGAAATTTAAACACTGACTAGATTTTTTTATATTTTGAGTTATTCGTTTCTTTAGATGCGATATGGCACTGTGATTAAAATTTTTAAAATATCTCCACGAGCGGCCCGAGGTATCTTTTGACGTTAGGCAGATGGCGTCGTGGCCTTCGTGTAGCTCCCCAGTCCTGGGCTCTCGCTGCCCTTGTGCCCGGCGTATCCCAAGTGGATAACAACTCCGATTTTCTGGGGAAGAGGCCGCATCGCCGGCACCCCGGCATCCGGCGCTGCCACGGGTGCGGCTGCCTCAAGCACTGACTGACACTGCGCAGGTACTGTTGCTCGGTGAGTAACGGTAGGAAAGGGAGGCTCAAGAACAAGCGGAGACTGGGCCTTCATGCAGCTGATGCCGCTTTTCATCTTTGGCGCATCGAGAACTCGATGCCCAATACGGAGAAGCAGGTGCAAGCACTGACCAATTATCTCTGGAGCCGGCGTGTACCCGTAGAGCCAGAGGAATTGCAAAGGCGGGCTATACATCTTGAGAAAAAATTCCTGGAAAACCCAGGTCCTCACTTCCAGTCCTTGTTCTCACCCCAGACTCATCTCAGACAGAGGAGAAACTTCGTGGAGCAGTGCTGCATTCCCTGCGTAAAACTACCTACCACTGGCAAGAACTGAGGTCCAGACTCAAATTCCAGAGTTCCAACCACAAACCTTGATGGATTTTGGATCGGGTACTGGGTCTGTCACCTGGGCTGCTCATAGTATTTGGGGCCAGAGCATACGTGAATCTATGTGTGTGGACAGTTCGGTTGCCATGCTGGATCTGGCAGAAAAGCTACTGAAAGGTGGTTCAGAATCTGGAGAACCTTATGTTCCAGGTGTCTTTTATAGAGCTTCTACCTGTATCATCACCTAAGGTACAATTCAATGTGGTTCAGCCTTTTCCGAGTGAACTGCCCAGCAAGGCTGAGCGCACTGACGTCGTTCACACCCTGTGGCGCAGACAAGTGATTTTCTGATACTGGTGGAAAATGGAACAAAAGCTGGGCACAGCCTTCTCATGGAAGCCAGGGACCTGGTCCTTAAGGGAAAGGAGAAGTCACCTCTGGATCCTCGACCTGGTTTTCTTTGCCCCACGTCCTCATGAACTTCCGTGTCCACAGTTGACAGCCTCTAAGCCCCTAGCCTGTAGCTTTTCCCAGGCTTACCATCCCATCCCCTTCAGCTGGAACAAGCAGCCCAAAGAGGAAAAGTTCTCAATGGTGACCCTTGCCCGAGGGTCTCCAGAGGAGGCTAATCACTGGCCCCGGATCACTCAGCCTGTCCTTAAACGGCCACACCATGTGCATTGTCACCTGTGCTGTCCAGATGGGCATATGCAGCATGCTGTGATTACAGCCCGCCGACATGGCAGGGATTTGTATCGCTGTGCCCGTGTCAGTTCCTGGGGACACCTTTTACCTGTTACACCATCTGAGCTTCCTCCGTCCCCTGCTGGAGACTCCCGAGAGTTGACAAGGATGTGTACCAAGGGTTTTCTTCTGTGGTGCTTGCCAAGGCTAGAGCTAACCTGGTATCCAGGATGGTAGTGTTGGTACCCCTATGTATCTGTGTGTGTTTGAAGTTTTAATAATAATAATTAAAAGTTTTCTAAGAAGGAAAAAAAATTTTAAATATCTTTTAGAAGTATATACTGAAAAACTTATAAAGTAATATGATGACTGGGATTTGCTTCAAAATAATCCAGAGTGAGTGGTGGGGGCACATATGAAACAATATTGTCCATGAGTTGACAATTATTTCAAGCTGGATGATGGGTGTATGGAAAAAAATCATTATACTATTTTTTACTTTTTTTTTTTTTTAAGATTTTTTAAATTGGGGAATTGGGGAATGGGAACAGCGCTGGGGAATTGAGGGAAGGGGAACAGACAAGTTGCTGTCGTTTTGTTCTTCAGTCTAGTTGTGGAGGACGTTGCTTCACTGGCCCAAGTTGGCACCATCATTGCGCTCTTCCCGGGTGAGGCAGATCAGTCGCCGGCTTCTGGACAGCCGCGCACTGTGGCTGCTGGCCGCTCACGCTGGCTGCTGGCTACACACGGTAGCCCATGGCAACCCACTGCCCACAAGGGCTGCAGCCTAGGCCGTCGGGGGTGACTCACAGCAGCCCAGCTCCAGGTTGAACTGTTGTTCAGTATCTTAGCTGTAAAGGGCAGTATCATGTGGGATGTGGGATCCGAACCGGGGCCCTCTGGTGTCCCAAGCTAGCTCTTAATCAATGCGCCACTCAGCAGGCCCGTTACTTTTGAAATTTTCCACAATAAATTTTTTTTTTTTTAAAGACTGTGGGGTAAGATTACAATGGCACAGTCCCTATTCTCAGAAGTGTAATTCGTTGAAGACACAACTGTAAGTCTAAATCCATAAAGTACCAGTGGCTGCTACCACCACCACTACACAAGGCAACAAACCAGGAAAAACTTACAAAACAAAAATTAAACAAACAACAAAGATAGTACTCACTTTATTAAAATTTTGCTTAATCTGACTGAGAGGAGAGAGAACGGTTTTTTCCCATCTGGCATTAAATGGCTTCTCTTTGGATTGTGCTGCCTGAGTTTTCCTGAGTCCCTGCTTCACACTCCCTGCCCCATCAATACAGACATCATAGTGGCAGGGCTATCTGGACACCAAAGATACATCGTATTATCCTTCTTGCATCTTGTCCCGAGCACATGGTAGAGATTTAGGGTACATGGGCCTGTGGGGTTCTGTGAGATTTTAAGGTTTATGAGCTTAGACACACTTTGGAGGGGTGTGGCTCGTATCCCTGTTAACTCTGAAATGTACACTATTAGGTTGTCGGAAAAGTCATGATGCATTTTTGCAACGAAAAACATAGAAAAAATATGTCATGACTTTTCTGACAACCTAACATATAAATTAAACAACAGAAAGGTACAGAAGTAACTCATCTTGCACCCAGGAGCTTCCAACTACATGAAATCATTTCCAAAGTTGATGGTGTCCTTTCCTGCTTATCCAGAGTTGGCTTCTGCAGAAAAAGTTTAGTGCTTGAGATGCACTTTCCTTTAGCAAATGCGTATTTGATAAATTTGAAGTTTGGAATAAAAATGTGTTTTATCAGTGTGAAAGTATGTGTAGCAATTTGAGAGGCAACAAATTAGCGGCAAAGGTTCAAACTAAAAAATAATGATATTTATTTAGTTTTTTGGAAATATAAATAACAATAAATGACAAAAGATAAAACAAAATAACAAAAAAACTGACATGTTTTATCATTGATATCTCCAGGCACAAAGGCATTTATTAATTAATATTAAAAAATAAATTTGACTACTTCTTATCTGCTTTTTCCCAGCTTTAACTACATGGATGTTTTTGGAGCTTGAGTTCCTAAGAAAATTCCATACTTACATGTATACAGGCCCCTATACTGTAACAGAGAGTAAGTGAGGTTAAGGTCCCACTTCCATAGGGAAATAGGGAAATAAATTTCTATCCTTGGGGATCTCAACAACTATACCTCTAGGAACTTAAAAAGCAGCTGCTTTCATTAGTATCCTTCTACCATGGGGTATGTAGCCATCGTCCATTGAAACGTGATCCAATTTGGGTACAGGTACTCTTCAGGTTTTCCAAGTTCTCCACATGACTACCTGACTAGGCCACCAGCTTTCCGTGGCAGCTCAATTTGCAGCTCACAGCCTCCCAGGCTGCACCAAAAGTGGGATTCACAAAATCCAAGATAAAGAATTTTTTACCTTTCTTCCTGGAAGTTAGAGAGCTCTTTGAGTAGGAAGGGTAAGGAGGTGTTTCATCAAGCTTGCTTTCACACTTAGTACTGGGGGAAGGGCTGCTAAAGCTATCCAGTGCACGCCTTGAGTGTATGGAGTGTCCTTACCCATCACCACACAAGGAAGCTGAGTAAATTAACAGGTCACTCGGGACCAAGCCCCTCAAAACAGAGGCAAATTCAGTGAACCAGGGCTGCTGCCTGTGGTAACAGCCCTAAGTTTATCGAGGTCCTTTTTTGAAGAACCATATTAATCTCCTGATTCAAGAGGCACCTCTGGCCAGGACAGATACGGAAGGAAAATATAGCTTCTGGGTAGGGACATGCCATGCAGAGTTTAGAGGTTGTGGTTTAGTCTACAGCACAAGACGACGGCAGCATCACTAATATTCAGAGCTGGAAAGAGCGTTGGCTGGACCACACTCCTGGAGCGTCTCTATTAATGCAGCTTAATGGCAGTTGCCCAGACGTCGTTGCTGGGGAGCGGGGGAAGGACCCATCCTTGGGGAATGGCGTTGCCTTTAGGATGATCAGATGGCACCAGGTACTGATCCCAATCATGCCTTAATAAGAACATTGTAGAACAACTGTTTATTTGTTTTATTCTAAGCAAGATGTTCAGCAACTAAATATTCTATGTCAGGACTTAGCTTTCAATGACTGATCTATAAGCCCACTACAGAACTAGATTTCTAGGATTTATGCAAAAGACTGTATTTCTTCAAAGTACATATAAAGGGGAAAAACTCCGAAGAACTAATAATCTTATAGATAACCGAATAATGATATACAGTCAATCCTCATTATTTGCAGATTCCTTATTTGTAAATGTGCCTGTTCACTAAAATTTACTTGTTAACTCCCAAGTCATTACTCGTACTGCTTTCATGGTCACCTGCTGACATACACAGAGCAGTGAAAAACCTGAGTGAGTCACCAGCACACACGTTCCCAACTGACGCTGGACAAAGTGACACTCTACCTTCTTGTTTTCAGCTCTCATACTGTGAACGAGTGTCCTTTTTGCGGTCTATTTAGTAGCACATTTTTCATATTTTTGTTCTTTTTACTGGCAATTTTGCTGTTTATAATGGCGTATGAGTATAGTACTGAAGTGCTGGCTGTAATATGCCTTACAGAGAATGCCTATATGTACGTTAGATAAGCAACGTTTGGGCATAAATTATCATGCTGTTAGCCATGAGTTCAATGTTAATGAATCAACAATATATATTAAATAAGGTGTCTTTAAAAAAGAAATAGACCTAAAACAATGCTATGTATTGATCAGTTGATGAAAAGTGGTGGCCAGAGGCTCCCAGGAACCTAACTCCTGTAGGAGCAGTTCAGTATTCTTTAATTCAGCGTTTGCGGCTTTATAGAACACAGCTACTGTGAATAATGAGAATTGACTGTACTTATGTTTAAAAGCTAAAACTTGTATGTTAGCTAGAAATAGACATTCCCCAGAACATAAACTTAGTGTGCTAAAGAGCAATGTAGGAGCTTTGGAAGGAACCTCAGAGATCACTTTAGTTCAGTGATTTTCAAACCAGGCTTTGAAGACCCCTAGATGCTTTGGGGAGTCTAGAAACTAACAAAGTGCTTCCAGTCAATAACAGATTTCAGATGCCTGCGGAACTCATTCATTCATTCTGTCTTACAAACTATTTCTCCAAAGACTGCATTTGGGAAGAGTGCTACTGCTAAAGCTTAAAGGCCACATTCTAGTCCACCATTTTCATTTTATAGGTGAGGAAAGTGAGGCCCAGGTTGCTGCAAAGTTTACCCAGCTCATTAGTAACTGCAGATGAAGATGAGACTCCTTGTTCCTAGCTCTCTTGGCTTTGACCTGTAAGAACTCACAAGTCAGCATGGGTCTTAAACAGTCTCCACAGGCAAGTAGATAGGGAGAGTCTGTTTGCCAGCAGAACAGAACTAAGAAATGGAAGCCGATGCTTGAACTCAACACAACAGCTAAAGCATGGGATAACAAAAGGGCAAGCCACAACCTGAGTTTCATTTCTTCCCCTGTCAAAACAGGGATATTGACTTCTCAAGGATTAATGAAGACTGAACAAGACATATGTGGCATCCTTGAAACTTGGAAACTGTATATAATGACCCATAAGGAACTTAAAAGATACAGGTGACATGGAGAGTGCCCCTCTGACCTTATCTGGATGAGCGCTGGCAGGGAGTGCTCCGCTTGGAGGTAATACTGTCGGAAAGGCTGCAGGAGGTGAGCAAGTGGGAACTCATCTGAAAAAGAAAAAGCACAATACCACGTCTTCGTGCTTCATATCTAGAGTGTATTTCTTAAGGCGAGGTGACTGAGCCTATGATTATGACCATATGATAAATTTGCATTTCATCCTTATCCATGATTTCCAGGATACAGTTTAGAATTGCAAATCCTGAAGGTGTCATTCGTTGCCCACCACCTCTTAGCTCAGATTAAGATCATCATCCATGAGAAAAAGAACTGTCAATTTAGTACTTTCCTTTTCTCCACTGGTTACAGAGGAACTTACCTGGATCCCCAAATAACTTGGACTCAATTTCACGCTTCTGAAGTAAAATTTTCTCTTTTTCTTTCCTCTGTTTCTTTTCTAGTTCTCTTTTCCTCTCTTCCTCTTGTTCTCCTTCTAACATAACTCTGAGGGCTCTCTCTTCGGCTTCATATAGTTCAGAGCGTTTTTTAATGAGTTTTCTCAGTCGCTGAAGATGATGCTCAAAAGTTTCATCTGCTGAGGCTGGAGGACAGACGCCTGGATAACAAGATCCAAATGGCATTTTGGTTACTTTTTCTTATTCTCAAATCTGTGTTCTAAGGAGCAGACTCAAATTAGATTCTAACCAATCTTCAAGGCTCAATTTCATCTCCTTGAGTCTCCAATTAATATGACCATACCCTGACTGTCTCTAACTCCGCTCCCTGTAGCATACCAGTTAACCTTTGATTTTGTTTAATTGTAATGGTTTTGATTCTTCAGTTGGAGATTGAGCTCACTACAGGGAGGAACTGTCTTATACGCCTTCACTGTGAAACTCCCACAGCTAATAAACAATTTTCCCTCTGACTGAATCTGAAGTTCTGGGTGAGCATATTTGGTTGGATAGTGACAAAGAAATATACTTAATTAACAATACTGACCTCACAGAGTCTACTGCTGAGAGTAGGGTGACCAAATGTTTCAGTTTGCCTGGTTGTAGCACTAACAGCCCAGTGTCCTGGGAAACCTGGTAAGTCTGGTCACCCTGATTTAACTGTGAGGTCACCTAACAGTATAGCCAACACAGCTAGAGCTACAATTGGGAAAATTTGATTTTAGACTAGTTATTAAGTGGTATCGAAGAATTATTACCAATTTTGTTAGGTGTGATAATGGCATCATAATTGATGATGGGTATTTTAGTTAGGTGTTCTATTTTTGTACATGTGTGAAATTTTTCATAAAATTTCATAAGGAAAAAATTTTTTAAATTTAATGAATCCTTGAGCGGATTGCAGTTGTGCACTCACTACCACAACAGCCCTGCAATATAAAAACTGCTAAAGCTGCGAGGTGATTCATCCTAGAGTAACATGGGTGTGGTCCATCCTGTTAGTCCTTGGAGATTTAAAAGGAAAATGTGTTTGGTACAGAAGCATTTTAACATTACTGGATACACAGAAGAAGAAAATCCTAATCCCATTAACATAATCAACCATTTCTATTTCCCCATATTGATCATTGTGTCGTTTTTCTCCATGTATTAGCAACTTCACACAGTTCAACATAATACGTGTGTAATTTCCACCTCTCCATGTAAATTTTTGACATTCTTTTCTTGTCTTTATAATTGTTTAATGGTTCTATCCTGTTTCACCAAATCAACGTACCATAATTTACTTAATAAACTCCCTACTCCCAGACACATAGGCTGTTCCAAGTGTCCTATTAAGTATAATGCTACAATGCATACTCTTGAGCAAGTGACTTTTTTCCTTCCTATGGATCATTTCTATAATATAGGTTCTCAAGAGTGGAAATTTTATGGATACTTTCAAGACTACCTAAATGTGGTACTAAACTGTTTCCTAAAAAAGCTACACATTTACTCAGTACCTAACACCTGACACAAAGAAAGTAATTAATATATATAATTTCTTCAATGAATGAATGATTTTCAATAGAGTTTTGGCACTTTATGCTGCCGCCAGTGAAGTACAATATTGCCAGCTTTGAGCACTAAATTTTCAATTTTGGCTGATAACGGCATAAAATAATGGTTCCTTATATATTGTTGTGTCTCTTGTGAAGCTGTTTAATTTGGAGGGCTCATTCTTTTCTCCCTCAACCACTGCAGCTAAGTAGTCATGAATTCACTCTCCTATCTTCACCTCCAAGGCTAAGATTCTTCCAGATAATTTTCTCATAACTGCGTTGCTTAAGCAGGTTTCTATTCACATATTCCCAACTGGAAATGGAAACTCTATGACTCAAATCCACCTTCTGCTAAGTTGCTGGGCTATTATTTTCCAAATACAGATACACATAAAATTCTTATGCACAGAGAAATTTAAGCTGACACTATGTTGCTTTGTAATAATTTCATGGTTTTGTTTAATTTCTTTACCTAGACCAGGGACTGGCAAACTTTTCTGCAAAGGGCTAGATAGTAAATATTTTAGGCTTGTGGGCCAACCAGTCTCTGCTGCAACTACTAAAATTTGCCAGTACAATGAAAATATACAGATACTCCATCATCCATCAGCCCGTAAGTACCTCCAGACCCCATAAGGTGCTGTGGCCTGCTCCCATCTCAGGCTGCTGGGCCTGTGCCACCCACCCACATCACCCTCAACCTTTCATCCATCACTCCTGGTCACCTAAACACATTCCCTTGAAAATGGCACTCTCTGTCCAATCTTCCTCTTGACCCCATGTACTGACATGGTCTAGGTTTCCTCCACCTCTACCATTTACTCCTCCAGTTCCTGCAGCATCTAGATAGCAATTGCCTTTATTCCCCGTTGCCATCCACACCTTGGGGCCTCAGCCGGTCTTTCACCTTGGCATAAACAGAAAAAACTTTGCACCTCTAAAGTCTTAAACCCGATTATTCTCTTCTCTGACTACAACTCTCTACCCTTCCAGTATGCTTATCTTCTTCTCCCCTGAGACACTGCCAGCTTCATTAAAAGTTCCAATCTGATGTATCAGACATCACTTTTCTTCCACTCATTCTCACCAAAACTTGTGATCACCCATAAAGTAAAACCCTAACAGCCTTGTGAGCTATGCTCACCTGACAGCTGCAAAGTACTGGAAAAAGCCATTTTGATGATGTGAGCTGCTGCCAGTATATATAATAGTTACATCAGCTGGGCCCTGCAACCTCCCTGCAACCATACTCCCATGGGTCACTGCTTGGATCTCACTCATTCCTCACAGCAGTTATTTCACTGCTCTCTGAAAGCCCCACTCTACGGACTCTCAGAGCAACCATCTAACCTATTTCGCAGAGGAGACAGGCTGCCTGGCAGGAATTCCCTTAACTTTCTGCCCCTGATTTCACCCATCAGCATTACTACCCATTCTTGTCTCCTTCATTTTCATTCCAGTGGAAGTTGGGTCTTATGTGCCAGGACTGTTTTAAGTACTTTTCTCATGTTTACTTATTTAGCCACCGCAACTCCCCATGGGTAGGTAATTATCATTATCCCCTTCTTACAGATGAGGAAACCAAAGCACAGAGAAGTTTAAGTAACCTGCCCAAGATTGCACAATCTGAGTATTTGCCATTTTCTAGGAGTTAGAAGGTCTACCTTTCCCTTCTCTCTCTCTCTAACCTCTCTTGATCTTTGTTATGGCCTCCTCTATTTATCTTGATATCGACATTCCCTAGGACTTTGTCTTTTTGGCCCTCATCTCATGCTACACAACGTCCTTAAGTTCTGGTTACATGCTGATGAACCCTTATCCAGGATATACCACAGGCTCCTGAAACTCAACAGGTCCCAAACTGAACTCGTCAACTCCAAGCCTGTTTCTCCTTCTCTCTTCCTGGTCAATTAGAATGATATCATCACTCATTCAGTAGATCAAACTAGAACCTAGAAGTCATTTTTTCCTTTTAGCTCCACATGTTGAGTTCCCCAAGTTATTTATTTATCTGTACACACGTACACACGTACACACACACACACACACACACACACACACACACACACACAATTTTAGTCGTACCTCTTAAATCCATTTACTTTTCTCCAACTCACCATCTGGCCCTAGTTCACCCTCCCATACTATCCCTGCCAAGACTACAAAAGCCTTATCAGTCTCTCTCCCTTTCTCCCTCTTTCCTAGATGCTCCAAACCTTTCTCTGCTCTGCCAGCACTGATCTTTGTCATCGTTTCATTCTCTGCTTAAAATCGTTCAATAGTTCTCCCTCAGCTTTAAGCATAGGTGAGAAGTCTAGCCTGGCACGTAAAACACTTTGCGATGTGGCCCTGCTTATATATCCAGCCTCTCAGCAATGACTTGGAGGTGCATACGCCTTGAAGAGAGAAGTTAGAAAGCTGCTCATTTTCTTTTCAGGTACACAACGCAGCCAGTTACTAGTTACCAAATCATTAACACTCAAGTCAGTTAACTCCACAGAATCTGCTTCTTTTTATAGATCATAATTCCCCCTAAAATTTCCTTCTTCTTTTGGACAAAAGTGAGGAAAACTAACAGTGACAAATTATGCTGGTAAATTCACTTGGCAAAAGATTGCTGACCCTCACCTCAGGGAGGAAACGGAGTAGGGGAACATTAAATAGTAGCCCTCAGGTTTTGCATTCTCGTAGAGACATGGGCAGACACAGTAGATGCAAATTCTGCTCTGACTCATGAATCCTCTATGGGGTCGTCTGACTCTGAGGCCTGAATATGAAGCAGCCTCTCTGAAGGCTGGTGCAGAAGCTCATCTCTGAGCTAGTGAATGAGCCTGGCCGAATGCACAATCACATTCTGGCAAGGCTTTATTAGGGTCTGAATCACTGTTTTTATTCATATTTTAAACCACATCGGGGGAGTCATCTGCTATTGTGGTATTTGCTCATTTGTATACTCTCAAATGTCCTTGGTGAATGTCAGTGGCCTACAATCTACTAAATAAAGCAACATGTGGTCCAAACCAGGTGCAAGTGAGGTCACCTCAGCCCAGAGCAGGGAAGGGTGGAGGATGCTGCATCCAAATTTGAAAGACAGTGAGAGCTTAAAATAGCAAAGATGGGACTGAGGGCCCGCCAGACAAGCAGACTGGCAAGAGCAAAGATCCAGACAGGCAAATAAAAAGCATAACTGGGGGAACTTCTAGAAAACCAGTGATCCCTCTAAAGGCAAGAGACCATTGAGGTTTTGAGTCCAAACATGGCATGCAGTAAGCGAGAGGACAAAATCCATGCAGTCTACAGGGCACTTCCTTCCCCCTCCAACCATTCATACCTCTTCAAATCAATGTGTTAAGTCTGAAATGTATCTGAAGGAGCTCTGCCAAGTTTTCCACACCTTCTGAAGTAACAAGTAAAGACAGGATAGCTTTCACTTTGGCACATGGGGAAAGTTGACCACCCACGTCAACCTCACTCAGGAAAGTGTGACCAGGAATGCCTGGAGTAGGCATGATGGGTGGTCAAGAGGAAGAGAGTGCAGTGGGTTCCCACACCTGCCTCTCTTTTCAACCTGGGGTACCAAGGGCTAAACATTTTCTACGGCTTCGTGCTTCAAAAGTTCTGAGGTACTGCTGACAAGCTCAGTTAACGTACTGGGTGAAAATAATAAAGTGTCAAGCATTTTCTGTCAAAAATTTGGGGGAGAGGGAGATGCCATAGTAAAGAAAGGGAAGGAACAGGAACAGAGGAAGAAATGCAACTAGAAATGCAAAGCCATGGTTACCTTTCCTTGCAGCAGCCTCTTTCCTGAGTTTCCTCAATTTCTCCAAGGCCCGAAGAATGTCCACCATTCTTTTGGTGTCTGCTTGTTTTTTCCTCACTTCAGATAAGACACCATCGGCAGCAGCTTTAAGTTCCTGCTCCTGGAGGAGAAAGAGCCCATGAGACCTAGTATTAGGAAGACCCTTACAGCAGACAATAGCTGTCCGCCAGTGAGATTTCAGAGGATCGGACAGTCCCAGTTGTTAAAAGAGACTCTACTGGATCTACATACCAATTTCCTGGACCATGCACAACTCCCCTCTACACTGTTCTAGCCAAGGGATTATCCTCTCTGCAGATTCCATGTGGGTGCTGGTCTTTGTTTCCTAGAGTTTCTCCAAGTGTGGGCCAAGGAACATCTGCACCCAACTTTCCTTGTTAAGTTGGGGCTCTCGTTAAAAATGCAGGCACCTGGACCAAAGATTGAGGCTAGCAGGGAAGATAGGGAACAGGGTTGGAAAGGCCCAGGACACTACAATGCTCTCAGTGACAGCCTAAAACTCCACTGCCAAGGATCTCATCGACATCACAGCCTTTCAAACATCTGAAGACCCTCTACTACTCTTCTGAAGTTGGTTCACATGTAGACTAAATACCTCTGGTTCCTCAAGACACTACTCAAGGGACTCTGTCTCCAACACCCTCTCTGTGGGTGGTAGGGAGGATGCTTTTGCCTAAAGCCCTCTTTCCCATTTGTCAAATCAGTTCCCATAATCCCACCATTTCAGCCACATCATGTGTTTCATTCTTTTGCCTACTTCTTCCTGGAACTACACCTGTTGTTTTCACTTGGCTTTGACATTTCCTTCAAGACTCAGTTCAGGTGTCACTTTACCATCCAAGCCTTCCCTGACACCTTCCCCCAGCAAATTAGATATTCCTTTTCTGGCCTCCTACACACACTATGCTGTACAGACATGATCTCCCATGAGGCGCTATGCCCCTCAGGGACAAGCACTATGTCCTATTCATCTCTATCCCCAGCACCTGGCCTGGTACATAATGGACCCTCACTAAATGTCTGAACTGACTCAAACTCCCTTAGATTAAGGCCTTGCCTCCAAGTATTCTTTAAAGCACTGACATTCCTGGGGGCTTGAAGACAAAGCTTGCCATTAACACACTTCACAAGGTAGTTAGATGCTAAGGCAGTTGCAGACAGGGGGAGGAGGAGGAAGAAGAGGAGGGGGAGGGGGAGGAGGGGAAAGAGGGGGAGGGGGAGAGAGGGAGGGGAAGGGAGAAAACACTAGCTGGTAGTGGAGAGTGGGGAGGGGGCGGAAGTGCCTAGAGGCACTCAAAAGTAATGACAATGTCTTAAACAACTATTTGACTAATTTCCAGTTTCACCTTGGCCCCTATTTAAGAACTTGAGATTAACAGGCTTTGGAATCAGACAACTGGGCTCAAATCAGGAGTGAAACCGCCAGAAAACCCTTGTCATTGCTGGCAGCTTAACTTCCCTATGGGAAAATATCACCTACCTGTCAGAGTTGTTACAAGGATTCAAGATCTGGTGTATGTAAAGACCTTAGCATAGTGCCTAGTATATAATGTGCTGAAAAACACATTGTTGAACCTGGGGATGTGTGGTTTTAAAACTTGTAAGCAAAAGGATCCTGGGGAAATCATCACTATTGCCCCATCAGCCAATTAGAGTATGTATATGTTTCTTGAGGCAGGCCCCAAGTCTGTATATTTTGTATTCTTAAAATCACCTAGAGCAGTACAAGGCACAAGAACCCAGAAGCGTGTTAGTCTTGAATGTCAATGTCAGAATGTCAGAACGTTGGAGCATGAGACAGGAGATGTGTCATCCCTGCAACACCACTGTGTGATCCTACTTTGTGTTTACAGGGCTTTGCGGTGCACCTAGAGTATTTATGTTGTGTACCATACATTATTAACACGCAATCAGTATGGAGATATAAGGTCGGAAAGGCAAGCTATCTTTTTATATTACAGATGAGGAAAAAGAGGTTTAGCCCTGGGAAATGGCAGCGCAAAGCCTCACACCCCTTCACGTTCCAAACTTGTACTCCCAAGGCACGTCTGGGACTCTTACCCGCTTCTTCTCCTCCACCTCCTGCACGCACTTGACCCTCCAGCGGTCAATCTCCTGTTCGCGCTCCGCTGCTCGCGCGGCCTCCGCCTCCCGCTCGACCTCGCGTTCCCGGGCCCTCTCGCGAAGTCGCGTCCGGCGGCGCCGGACCCTCTCCAGTCTCCGCCGCGCCTCGCCCACATAGGCGGCCTGAGTCAGCAGCTGTAGTCGCTGGGCCAGCTCGGCGCGCTGCGGCGCGGCCTGGGCATACAGCAGTGCCCAGGCCGCGCCGTCGGCCTCGGCCTCGTGCAGGGCCTCGCCCAGGTCACGCAACCGCCGTACCAGGCGCAGAGCCTCCCGCAACCGCGCGCGCACTTCGCCCAAGCTGGGGCCAGCCGGCCGGCGCGGGGGTACTGGGCACCCCGCCCGCCGTGAGGTTCCGAACACCGCTTCTAGCCACTGTCGATCGCGCAGACGCTGCAGGACCGCGTCCCCAAGCACGTCGGACGGCGGCGGCGCCTCTGGCCAGCGCGGACTCCAAGGCGGCCCCGGGCCTGGAGGCGGCGGCCGCGGGCGCTCGCCGGCATCGATCCCCGGGAAGGGCCGACACTGGGGCAGTGGCGGAGGTAGCGGCGGTGGCGGCACCGGGTAAAAGGAGCCGCCGCCGCCACTGCCGCCGCGAGAGGCTTCCCCGGGGGCCCGGGGCTGGAGAGCCAGCGGGGGCTGGAGGAAGGGGGCGGAGGCCCCTGGGAAGAGGCCGGGCCGCTGGGGAAGAAGTGGCGGGAAAGCTGGGGAGGGCAGTGGCGGTGGCGGGCAGCCGAAGGGAGCGGGAGGCAGCTGCTGCGGGGGCGGGGGGCCCGGGCGACCGGGGGCGAAGAAGGGCGGCAGAGCCATGGCCACCAACGAGGCTTTCTGAGCAGTCACAGGAATCTGAGTGGTTTCACGAGACTGTGGCTTCCGGGAGGAAGTGACGTAGTACCAAGCGCGACGCCAGTGTGACGCGCCTGGCTTCCTTCAGTCCTTGAATTCGTAATACAATACTGTTCTTAAACTGAGCATTCTAGGTGCGGAGCTAGCTGCTTTGCAGACAGTGCGACCAACGGATACAGTTCTCTTCGTGGAACTGTTTAGTAAAGTAAGCACATTATGTAATCATGCAAACAAATGTAAAAGTGCAGCGGTGAATATGTAGTACTACCAAAGAGGAAAACACGGGGCAAGGAGAATGTGACTTAGAGGTTGCGGAAGGTTGTCCTAAGGACTTGAGGCTTCATCTGAGCTCTGAAGGATAAATAGGAGTTAAATAGAAGAGAGGTTACCACAATTCAGATGCTACCAGAATTTGCAAAAGCCCCCCCGCCTAACAGATAAGAGTAGGTTTAGTGGGGGATCTAAAAGAATGCCAGTGTGGATGGAGCACAGAAAGCCTAGAGAGCTTGGTGATTGATCCCAGGAGGTGGACAGATTATAGAGGCCATGATCGCATATTTTAAAAACAGTGGGAAACCACTGGAAGGTTTTAAGCAGGAGGGAAAGGGGAAGCCAGGCTACAGGTTTTTGTGTTTTGTTTTTTTTTTAATTGGGGAACAGCCATGGTTACACATTGCTTTCATGCTACAATGGCATAGACGACTCTTTTAAGGAGGGCGCAGCTCACAGTGGCTCATGCAGCGATCGAGCTGGCAACCTTGGTGTTATCAGCATGACGCTTTTAAACAACTGAGCTACTAACGAGTCAACACCCTCCGCCCCAGATTAGGGGTTTTTTGTTTGTTTTTTTAGAGACCAATTTTTTTTTTTTTTAAGATTTTTTTATTGGGTAATTGGGGGAAGGGGAACTGACAAGTTGCTATCCTTTTGGTCTTCAGTCTAGTTGTGGAGGACGTTGCTTCACTGGCACACGTTGGCACCATCATTGCGTTCTTCCCGGGCGAGGCAGATCAGTTGCCGGCTTCTGGATGGCCGCTCACACTGGCTGCTGGCTACACACGGTAGCCCATGGCAACCCACCTGCCATCGCGGGTGACTCAAGGCAGCCCAGCTCCAGGTCAAGCTGTTGTTCAGCATCTTAGCTGTAGAGGGCAGTGTCACTGGCCCTCATATGTGGGATCCAAACCGGGGCCCTCTGGCATTCCAAGCCAGCGCTTAACCAACGCGACACTCGGCTGGCCCCAGATTAGGTTTTTAAAATTAAACTCTATTTTGAAATCGCTGTAGAAGCATATGCAGCTGTAAGAAATAATACAGGGAGATCCTGTATACTCTTCACCCAGTTTCTCTGAATGGTAATATCTTGCAAAACTAGTACAACATCACAACCAAGATGTTGATGCTGATACAAGTCAAGATACAGAACATTTATTTCCATTACTTCCAGGATCCCTCCTTTGCTATTTTATAGCCACACCCACCTCCCTTCTTAAACCTCTGGCAACAACTAGCTTGTTCCCCATTTATATAACTCTGTCCTTTTAAGAATGTTATATAAATGGAGTCATACAGTACAATACCTTTTGGGATGCGCTGTTTCCACTCTGCATGATCCCCTGGAGATTCATCCATGCATCAACGCATTCCTTTTTATTGCAGAAAAATATGTGGGTAAAATTAAACCACACTTTAATCATTCACCTGTTGAAGGATATTCCCACTTTGGAGTTGTTTCTATTTGGGGGCTATCATGAATAAAGCTGCTATAAAAATTTGTGTAAATGTTTTTGTGTGAACATTAACCTCAATTTCTTTGGAATAAATGCCCAGGAACACAATTGCTGGGCCATATGGCAGTTGCATATTTGTGTTTTTTTTTAACTGCCAAATTGTTTTCCAGAGCAGCTGTACTATTGTACATTCCCACCTGCAATGAGTGATCTAGTTCTAGTTTCTCTCAATTCTCACATTTTGCCGTGTTCCTATTTTTTTAGATATCCTGACAAGTATGTAGTGATATCTCATTGTGGTTTTAATTTGCACTTCCTTAATGACTATGTTGAACATCTTTTCATATGCTTATCTGCCATCTTTATATCCTCTTCCACTGAAATGTCTGATCATGTATTTTGCCCATTTCTAATTAGATTGTTATTTTACTGTTGAGATTTGAGTTATTTATATATTCTACATACTATTGGGTTGTCGGAAAAGTCATGATGCATGTTTGCAACAGATGGCACTAGTTCATTTTTGGGAGTACTAGAGTCATTCGCATCTATGTTATTGCTGTCATTCTATATAAAAATTGAGCGATTTAGTTGAGTTTTGTAGATTTTACAAGTTGAAGATGGAAGACCAAACTGTGCATTTTTGCCATATTTTACTGTTTTACTTCCATAAGGGGAAGAACACGAATCAAGTTTGTGAAAAGTTGCATAAAGTTTACGGTGACAATGCTCTACAAGAACATCAGTGCCAACGATGGTTCACAAAATTCCATGCTGGTGATTTTAATCTTAACGATGCTCCTCAGTCAGGGAGGCCCACTGAGGTTGATGATGACAAAATAAAGGGACTGATTGAGTCAAACTCGTGTTACACGACACGAGAGATTGCAGAAACATTGAACATCCATCATTCAAGCATTCATGACCACTGGAAGAAGCTGGGATACATAAGCAAGCTCAATATTTGGGTTCCGCATGAACTCAAAGAAGTTCATTTGACAGTGCATATAAACATCTGCAATATGCTTATTAAACATGAGGAAAACGATCCTTTTTTTGAAACGACTGATAACTGCTGATGAGAAGTGAATTGTTTACAACAATGTGGTGTGCAAACGGACTTGGTCCCGACATGATGATTCCCCTCAAACGACATCGAAAGCAAACATTCATCAGAGGAAGGTTATGCTCTCAGTGCAGTGGGATCTTAAAGGTGTTGTGTTTTTCGAGCTCCTACCAAGGAACCAAACAATCAATTTGAATGTATACTGTCGGCAATTGGACAGTTTGAACGAATCCATCATCCAGAAATGTCCAGAGCTTGTTAATTGTAAAGAAGTTGTGTTCCATTGCGACAAGTTGAGACAACACACAAGTTTGATCACCCGTCAAAAATTATTGGAGCTTGGATGGGATGTGTTGCCACACCCACCATACTCACCTGATCTTGCGCCGTCAGACTTTCACTTGTTTCTGTCTCTTCAAAACTCCTTGTGTGGTATAACATTCAATTCAGATGAGGCTGTCAATCAGCACCTTGTTCAGTTTGGCACAAAGACAGGTCCTTCTAAGAATGAGGAATTATGAAGCTCACTGAAAGATGGTTAAAGGTTATCGAACAAAACGGGCAATATATCGATTGGTATTTGTTCTTTATATAAATGACCTTTGAAAAACAAGACAAAATATGTCATGACTTTTCCAACAACCCAACAGTAGAAAATATGCAGTGTGCCAATATTTCCTCCCAATTTGTAGCTTGTCTTTTTATGTTCTTAATAGGGTTAGAGCTTTACTTTTTAAAGCAAAAGTAATGGATAACCCCTTGGGTAAGAGTCCATTTCTATACCATGAAAAGAACCATTCAGAGCCTGACCCAACTCCCAAAGGACCTCTCATATTTCTCAGAAATTCTTTGTAATAGTCTACATATTTACTTGTATCCCATGTATTATGTAATACTCTATATATTTAAAGGCTTCCGTTTTTCTTACAAAAATTTAAGGTATGGATATAACCTGGTATTTTCTAAATACTCAGTTTTCATTACCATTTATTGAATACGTTTCCTAATTTGAAATAGCACCATTCCCTATACTAAATTCCCAAATATATTTTGGATCTATTTCTGGAATTTACATTTTTTTCCATTGATCTGTTCACTCATACAGTGGTACACACTTAAAATTTTAAAGCATGATATATATATATATATATATATATATATATATATATATATATATCTCATATATGTATGAAAAGGCAGCACCTCCTCATTCTTTCAGTGTGCTGGTTAAGTGGAGAGACTCTGAAATCAGTCTACCTGGGGTTAAATCCTGGCTGTTACTAGTTGTGTGACCTTGGGCAAGCTTAACCAGTGGGCTTGTTCATCTATTGAGTTGTCGGAAAAGTCATGACATATTTTTTCTGTTTTTCGTTGCAAAAATGCATCATGACTTTTCCAACAACCCAATATAAAAAAGGGTTGGTAATAGAAACTAACTCACCGAGTTGCTGCACTAAATGAAGAGTACCACAGAGTAAGCACTATACGAGTATACATTATCACTTTGCTTGTTTACCGTTTTTATTTTTCCATACACACTTGCCTAGTTTCAATTTTAAAACTTATTGGTATTTTTATTGGAATATTAGATATATAAATTAATGTAGGGATAATAGACATCTTTATAATACTGAGTTTCCCCAGTGCAGAACATGGGATACCACTTTTCATCGGATTTGCAAAAATACCTATCCATCCACTGCAATCACATTAGTCCAATCCATCATCTCCTGGCAGGCTTATTATAATGGCCCCAAATGTCCCTGATTAGATCCTTGTTCCTCTATAGTCTGTTCATTTATACTGCAACCAGAATGGTCTTTCAACACTTAAGTCAGATTATGTTATTTCTCTGTGCAAAACCTCCCAATAGCTTCTCCTCCCACTCAGAACTAAAGCTTGGAAGGGAACTGAAAACAGCAAGGCCAACCTTAAGTTTACTGTGGAGGGGATATGGGCTAAGGGAGTTGTGTTTTGTTTGTATGCCGAGAAGTGATCTGAAAAACAGGAAGTGATGAGGTAGGAGATAGAGGGGCAAGTGCTGGAGAAATGTTCACGAGCAAGCCTCTAGTGATGTTTTTCCCCATTTTCCTCAGAGCCTCCCCTTCCCAACAATCTAAAACACAGCTAATTATGCCCAACTTTTCTGCTTTAAACTCTTTAAATAATTTCTGCATAAAATTACAACTTAACCTGGCTTACAAGATATTCTATTATTTGTTTTAAAATGTATGGAGCACCAAATATACAAAGTACTATGGTGGGTGCTCTTTTAGTTAACAAAACAGGCATGGTCTTCACCCTAGTAAAACTTACGGTATAGTCAGAAAGACAAGTGAAATATAAACTTGGGAGGTTTGCTATAGGACAGGAAATAGTAGGCAGTGTCTAGGTGCTGCTGGGAATGACTCAGAAGGAAGGAGTAACGTAGTACAAATAACGTAGTAGAAATGCTAACAAAAGAACTAAAGGCCTTGAGAAATGGAGAGGATGATGGGATCCCCTCATAATGATGTAGAGTGATTGAATTTTGTTAAGAGGGATTCTTCAGTTGTAACTGGAGAAAGAAGGTTGGGTGCTGAAAGAGGTAGATTCATAGATTTGATGATGGGAAGATGACTTCCATCTTGTGATGGTTTCTGAATGGAAGATGAGGCAAAGTTCTCAGTTGAATGGAGAGGGGAGAATATATTAAATGGTCATCTCAGAGCAGCAACGTGAAGTTGTATCTGCTGCCTATTTCTCAACTCCTAAAGTTCTCTAGTTGTTGTTTCACACTTCTGAGATTTTATTCTAATTTTCATTACTGCTTTCTGGAAAATTTCTACTTGTTCCAGATCCATTTGGACCACCACCTTTTCGCAACCATGCCTGGTACCTACCTCACATTATTATAATACACTGATGCTTGTGTTTGCTTCCCCTACTAGACTAGTAAACTTCATGAAAAGCTTGGTCTGTGTCCCTCGTTTGGGGCCCATGCAGAATATTTAAGTAAGGATTTTCAATACTTAACATAAACTTTAATAACAGACTTTTGTCTGTGGAATCTACAACCAGAATTTACTAGAGGGATATGAAAGTGCCATGGATTAACCAATCACTAGAATAAAGTAGTTCATGATATCGGTGTCCTTTTAAAAATGGCACTGCATTATGGACACACCACCACACTGGCTTTCATTTAGTCCTTTTGTTTTATTCAAATGACAAAACATAAGTTTCAAGATACAAATCGTAGTTATACTCAGTTGTGTTTGATTTAAAAACATCGATTATGTTTTGTTAACAACTTCCAAAACCAAATGTAAGTTGTTGTGACTAAAATGTCTCCCAGTCCAATTCTGGAGGATTACCCTTAATATATTTAGTAGCTACTCCAATTTTCACTCTACAAAAAGGAAAATGATGATGCCATAGAGAAAGACAATGAACAGTTATAATATGAAAGGCTTCCTGAGAAAAAGTTTAACCATTGCTAGGGAGACTAACAAGGATATCTGTTTCTGTTCCATACTATAGCAACCAGGCTTAAAAATCTGCGAAAGTGCATTTCTGGTCCTACCTCAGCCATAAATAGCTATCTCACATCTCTTATTACATCACTGAAAGCGCAACCCTTCTCTTAATCAACAGGATTTTGAATTTGCTTATAGTTTATGGTTCTCTTCCTAAGAAAAAGGGGGTTCAAGGAAAACTTGAGTCTATAAACCAACAAATAAAAACAAATATTTCTATGTACTCTGATTTAAACCATTTTCAAGTAAGTTTGAACTGAATGAATAGTAAATTATATCAACATTACAGATGAAAAAGTTTAAAAGGTACCCAAATATTTTAATATTTATGAGAAATAATTTTTATTTTTAAGTCCCCTAAGTTGCCCCTAGTTTAGTTTTGTTACATACTGAAGATTAATAACTTATATTTTAGTGTGAACACATTAACTTCTGCTGATAGCAAAGCACAGGTTTTTAATGTTCTATGAAGCCAAAGAATTAGACAAAATCCAGCACAAAAAAAAAAAACCAAAACAAAAAAACTAGCTGAGCACTTTAGGTAAGTGCACAATATTAGGATATTTTATTTAGTTCAGCACATGGCTGTTATTATGACTGATGCTGCATGCTACTTTTAAAATTAGATGTAGTCTTTTTCTGAAGATTTAATAAGGCAGACTTCAGATCCATCTGCTCACTCATGATACTATAATTCATTAAAGATGGCAAATAAATCAGACAAGTCAGCAAGAGAATGGCCTTTCTTATAGTACCAATTGGGAAGTTAGTGTCATGCATTAGTAGGTAAGACTAAGAATACAGCTAAACAAATCATTAAAATATGGTTCTCCAGGGTACTTTTTCCATGAAATTTTTAACCACTTGGAAACTACCTGTTCCAATTTTTAAGATGAATAAAATTCTAGTATTTTCAGGAAACAAATATGGGTAGAAAAGGTTCAACTAAAAAATGGTATCCCAATCTTCAATTTTAAGAATTTATTTTCCCATTTGTAGAGTAACATTATTGTAAAATCCAGTTATTGCAACACCTGCATTGCTTAAAAGAACTCCTAAGAATTTTGTTTAAGCATATTTTTAAAAAACGGAACCAAAATAATATACATTTTTATCTCTGAACATTATGTCATTAAAGTCCACATAATGTCCTCTGTATAAATCAATGTAATGTTACCTAACATACATGATCTGATTTTTATCCTAAAGGCTTCTGACCATGTATGATATCCAAGATAGATCCAATGCTTTTAATGTCAGACTGTAGAGACAGTTACGATCCTAAACACGAGAAGGAAAAGCTTTATATACAGGACAGAAGTCTGACATGACAGTTTAGCTGTTTGCAGCATCTGCTTGGCGAGGCCATCCTTCTTCTTCAACTCCAGAATCATACTCCTCTTCAGAGGACTCTTTTGTTGGAGCCCTATAATGAAAAGCCATCATTTTTTTAAAAAATAAAAATTAGAGATAAACACAATTTCTAGACTCAATAAGTTAATCCACCTCGCTAGAAAAGTCACACACAAAAAGAAAATATTAAGAGTACTTTTAATATTAAGGTTGCTTAGTGGTAAAATATGGGAAACACTTAAGACCACACAACCAAGGGCGGCAAGTAATTTTCCCTAACAAATACATTACTGAAATAAACAGACAACAAGGCTTCAATTGTGAAGGCTTAAAAAATCCACTTCTCCAGCAAAAATTAGAGTCTATTTTTTTCAACACAAATGCTTGACATTTAACATATGTCTATGGTAAAGAAGACAGCGTCTGACCAAATCCAGCTTGACTCAAATTTGTCAAAATTATAAAATTATAATAAAGACAATTCCTTTATATATTAATGTCATTAAACAAGAAAAACAAAAGATTGTTTCTATGAATAACTAAAGTTGTTGAAAACCAATCAACTACCTCCTAAATTACCTTAGAACATAAGCAAACAAAATATGCCTTGTGATAGTTAAATCAGAAACCTAATTTTTGTGTATAATATTAATGTGAAGCTTTGTATAATAAATATTTATTGAATAGATCAGGTCAGTAAACTACAATCTACAGTCCAAATGTCACAAGACCAAAAATTATAGTTTTGATCTTGTGAAAGATATGAAACAAGTCATCACAAATTACAGAATTAGCAGCAAAGTTCATTTAAATCTTTTTGCATTACTTTCACATCTCTTTTGATACTTCTTCCTTAGGAGAAAAAAGTGGAGGCTACTTTTGAAGATCAATTTTCAAAAAGACTCACAAAATATTATTTTGTAAAATAAAATTAGAACATTTTTCTACAGAAAATGTTTGAGATTATTGCTTCCCTTACGATTATAAGGATTTTTATGCAATTTTTATGGAAGACCAATAAACTATAGCAATAAAGAGCTGATCTCAAATTTTAGATCTGTTCAAGCTTGACAATACACATTACCGGATGTATCCTGGTTCCTTTTTTCCTTCTACTACTTCTTTGTTAACCTCCACACATACAATATCAGAATTAGGGACTTCGAACATTGGTTCTAGTAACAGCTTTTCCTAAAGAAAAAGTAATGAATGACATGGAAAACTGAGGTTACATACAGAATACTTGTATTCTACAGGCCACAAAATCTAAGCCATTAAACTCAACAAATATTAATGAGTTCCTATTATGCACCAGGAACTGAATGTTGAAAAAGTCAGTGTAAAAGCTTTCATATTCTTCATATTAAAACAGCTAACTAAATTCAGAGAGAAGTCATTCTATAAGGAAGGCTGCTTATCTGTAGTTCTACCTACTTAGGTCACCATACATATACTAAAGACTACACTTTTGGATTCAGAAGTTTCACAGAAGCATTCCTGGCATATTCAATAACCAAGGAGGTCAACTGGTACTCCTTACTTTGAAAATGATTTAATCCTAAATCATCTCCCCCAAGCTTTTCAATTTTGAACTATGACTTCAAAAAAAGCATTTGTCTCAAGAGCTGCAGTAGATCTAAAGTTGTTTACTAAAGAAAACCAGTTTAGCCTACAAGTAGGGGCTGGATTCCATCTTTAGGAAAAAACTGGCTAAACACATCAGATTTCTTTTAAAAAGTCAACTCTCTCACTATTCTAGTTTGCACGTTTCTGTAAATCTGTTCTTAATTAGTAACACCGTAAATCTGTTCTTAATTAGTAACACCTGAATCAGTAACAGGTGTTCATTACAGAGTATAATCTCAGACTGTCTGTAATGGAAGTGTAGTTCCAATCAAAAAGTCCCACTAAATCATATTTAAGCTGTGAAATCCTTAAAAGACAATAGGAACATGCATTTGCTTTGGGAGCATGTCGGCAAATAGTAATCCACTGTCTAGCCAGACCTTGCCAGTAGGGGAGAGAACTCTAAGGAAGACAGTGGGTGGCTGAAAATAAGCTGAGTCTCTAGGACTTATTACAAAATAAAAAATAGTGAGCTCAGAGCACACTGGAGAATTTAGGTATACAATGTCATGGTATCTGCAACTTAATTTCAAACAAACAAACAAGAAGAATGAGGATTTCAAAGGGTCTGAGAAGGTACTCTGAGGCTTAGGTAAAAGGCCTGTGTAGAATTTTTCTGAAATTCTCCCTCCTTTGATCCTGATTTTCTCTATTTCATTAATCATATTATGTGTGTCCTTTGTTGCAAACACCTTAAAGATTCTTTTCAGAAAGAAGAAAAATATAATCTACCATGACAAAAATAAATAAATAAATAAATAAAAATCACAAAAACAACAATTGGCCAATTAATTCTCTGGATATATTTCCAAAGGAAAAATATGGAGTCTCATATTCTCAAAACTTAAATCAAGAAATAATCTAGTTTTTGTATAATAACAGCAACTTACCATTATGGACCGAAGGCCTCGTGCACCTGTTTTTCGTTCCAGTGCCAATCTGGCTATGGCTTTCAAAGCATCCTCAGTAACATTCAGTTCACACTACAAATATATTCAAAAGACATGAGAACTCAGATAATAATACTTGGTGATATATCCTAATATAACCATACAGCATTTGATCTATTAACTATTACTACCCACCACCATTACTGATCTTTTTAGAACAAGAAGGGACCAATGCCCTGACTTTACACATAGAAAAGTTTCACAGGGTTAAGTACACTGATTCACTAATACTTAGAAATACAAGGCCAGAATCTTTGTCTTGACTGACTCTATCCCCTTTCAGATGAAAGCACTTTTAGACTATCAATTTATTACTAGAAAACATGCATTTTAAATAGTGTTACTAAACCTCTTATCCTATAAAACAAAGATAATAAAACTTTAGATAAGTCTTTCTACATTACCACACATTTCAAAATAGTACAGTTCAAATTATTGAGAAAATACAAAAAAAAAAATCCCACTACTTTGGAACATCAGAATTCACAAGATTGGGGCCGGCCGAGGGGCTCAGTTGATTAACAGCGTGAGCTCTGAGCAACAGGCTCACTGGTTCAATTCCTACATAGGCCAGTGAGCTGAGCTGCCGCTGAGCTGCCAACAGGTGGCAGGATGGCTCAGCTTTGAGAGCATGTGCTCCTAACAACAAGGTTGAACACGGCATCTTCAGCTGAGCGGCTGAGAGCTGCCGAGTGACCGTTGGATGGCGACTGGACTTGGGAGCTGAGCTAGCTGTGCCCTCCACAACTAAGATTGAAGGACAACAACTTGGCTGCTTGCCTCCCAATTCCCCAACATTGTTCCCCTTCCCCAATTCCCCAATAAAATCTAAATAAATAAATAAATAAATATCTAACCTTATCCATGCTGAATAAGGCCTGGTACTGCGGAATAACGGCATTACGTGGTTCAGTTAGTATTTGTACAAGCGTTTTCTCATCTAAGCTATGCAAAGGAACTACCACAGGCAACCGTCCCACAAACTCAGGAATCATGCCAAATTCAATCAGATCTCTGGCTTCTACGTGACGTAATAATCGATCTTTTTCTTCAATATCTTGATGAGTATTTGATTCGCCACTTCGATTAGCAAGGTCTGCAGCAGCTGCAGCCCTTCTGCCTTTCCCCAGATTAGATGGTGTTCCAAATCCAAGATACTGTCAAAGAAAAGACAGATTTTATAAATAGCTGAATGAAGTTGCATTGTACCAAGTATTTTGCATGCATATCTCATGTGACCTTTGCAACAGAAGAAAGTTCTATTATTCACATTTTACAAATGAAAAACACACCTAGAGAGGTTAAGTACCTTGACCAAGCTCTCGTTGCTGTAAATGGTAAAGCCAGGATTTGAACTCAGGTCTATCTGCTTTCAGGAATGAGAACCTAACCACTATGTAACAACTAACTCTCAAAAAATGAATTCCTAGTAAAAGTAGAGAAGTAAAAACTATGAAGGGAAGTCCCTTAGAACTCAGATAATGATGTTACGGGGTTTTTTTAAGACCTCTAGGCTAGTGTGATTTCCAAAATATGTAAGAACTATGAAAATAGAGATAGTATTTATTGTGTAACCAAAGTTAATTTTGTAATGCTGTAAATAGGAGTAGTGCCTATGGAAAAGCAGCCTTATAAAGAAATTATCCACAAGTGTCTTAGTCACCGCTAAGCATTCTATTAAAATTATGATTTGTGGTTGCATACTTCAACCTATGAATCAGAATAGTTTAAGATTAGATTTTAGAAAGAACATATAAGGATGACATCAAACAAGAATGCTAACTTTGCTGCAAAAGGTTAGGTATCTAAGCTGTATGGATCTTGCTTCAATCAATGTAAAAGAACCACCATACTCTTGGCAATTATTGAGAAAGTTTAATTTTACTTCAGCTTTTTTTTTTTTAGCTGAGCCATCCTGCCACCTGTTGGCAGCTCAGTGGCAACTCAGCTCGGGCCGGGAATCGAACTACTGTTGCTCAGAGCTCAAACTCTTGAGCGAGCTCTTAACCAACTGAGCCACTTGGCCGGCCCCAGAAAGTTTAATTTTGATGTCATATAGCTTTTGTCAAAAGTATAAGAGAAGCACATGATATGTGAGAAGATAGCTTAAGTTAAAAATCAATTCCACTGATTCTCTAAGCTGTGTACATGGACAGTTAGTGTGTCAGAAAAGAAACTACCTTTCATTCAATAATTTAAACATATATTAAACATATATCATATATAAGGGTATACAGCAATAAATATGTATATAAACGTTTCTTAAGCATTATTATAAAACACTGGGGATATAAACCCAAAGACAGCCCTTACCCTAAAAAAGCTTATTTAGAGTGGGAACACATGAAGGTATTAAAGTATCCTACGTGCAATGAAGGACAACTGTACAGGAAACAGTGGCAGTGGAATGGAGGACAAGAGGCACATTCATATAGGGGAGTGAAGGCAGGAGGTGATCAAGAAAACCTTCACAGAGGAATTGCCTTATCATTTAACAGGCTGAGTCTTAAAAAACGAACATGTATTTGTCAACTAGACTGTAGTAGTAGAGAGCATGAGCAGGGCAACAGGAATAAAACTTAGGAATGCAAACAGTTTGATATGGTTGGAATACAGATACATTATTTAATACTGTGCCCCTCGCTTTCAAGGAAGGTTGACAAAAACAGTAGCCACGTGACATGTGTAATCCTCTATAAAATCACTGTTCAAGATTCTCATATGCCTCCTTTTCATAAAGATCTATATGACAAACTTTTTAAATCTTTGTCTCTCCTAAAGACCTCATATGACCTAAACCTTCCTTCTACATGTTTCTGTTCTCTTTTCTGACATTATTTTAAGTATTCTTTTCTACATGTTTCTAGCTTCAAATTCTTTTTTGGAATTATTATAAATATCAGAACATGGTCCCTGCCTTTGGTTACAGAATTTCAAAAATAAAGTTATCTCCTCCTCTCTCTGTCTCACACATATACACACACAGAAATAATTTCTTGGGCCGGCCGAGTGGCTCAGTTGGTTAAAAGTGCAAGCTCTGAGCAACAGGGTCGCCAGTTCGATTCTCACATGGGCCAGTGAGCTGCACCCGAGCTGAGCTGCCAACAGGTGGCAGGATGGCTCAGCTGGTGAGAGCACGTGCTCCTAACAACAAGGTTGCTGGTTTGACTGCCACATGGGAGGGTGAGCTACACCCACCCGCAACTAAGATTGAACAAGGCACCTTGAGCTGAGCTGCTGAGGGGCAGACAGATGGCACAGTGGTTAGAGCATGCACTCTTAACAACAAAGTTTCTGGTTCGACTCATGCATGGGATGGGTATGCCCACCCACAACTAAGACTGAACACAGCACCTTGAGCTGAGCGGCCATGAGCTGCCGATGGGCAGCTGGATGGCGACTGGACTTGGAGCTGAGCTAGCTGCACCCTCCACAACTAAGATTGAAGGACAACAACTTGGCTATTCCCCTTCCCCAATACCCCAGTAAAATCTTTTAAAAAAAAAAGAAAGAATTTCTTCTTTCTAATTTGTTAGGCTAATTTATATATAGAAAATTTCAAAAGCAAAAAAATCCCATAAATTAACTAATATGAAAAATAAAAATATAACCTTATCCATTCTGAATAAGGCTGGTACTGAAGAATAACAGCATTACGTGACTTCATTAGGATTTGTATGAGTTTTCTTATCTAACCTATGTAAAGGAACTACCACAGGCAACTGTCCCATCAGCAGCATATTTTTATTACTACTAAACTAGTGCATGCAAGGCTAAGGAGACTAAAAGCAAGAAATATAGCATCTATGATCTATGATATATTCTTTTAGGTAGGATACTATGTTATATAAAAGGGACTATTTGTGGCTAGCTATTAAGCAACACACAAAAACATGGAAAATACAGGTATGTTTTGGGCTTCTATGACATTACATTTTATTGTAATCAGTCAACATATAGGTACTGGGCATGTACCTTGAGGATGTGAAGAAATAAGTTCCAGTTAAAATCAAGACTTATAAGAATGTTTAAGAAACATTCATAAAACTACGTGGGATTCACAACCCTTGCTCCAACCCCTAAAATGTTTCCCTCCATTTGTGAATGTTAGCAGTGGCCTATGAGAGACTTTATGGGTAGGGGCAATGGAGACAAGCTCTAAATATTGAGTTGCAGTGAACTGGGCAAGAGGAATGAATAGAAATTTTACTAATACAGTACCTACTTCAAATAATAAAAGAACTCTTCAGATAAAATATAAAATTGAAATCATGAAGTTATACTTTCAAAATGCCCATATATAGATGATATTTAGAAATCTTCCAATTTACTACTCTGAAATTAAAAAAATAACTAGAAATATATTTTTGGTATGCTCTAAGAAAGCCTAAATTAAAAAGCCACAACTGGCAGCCAGCAATTACAAGAACAGAAACTGAGTGTCCATCCTCTATAACTTCAAATGCTCTCTACCCCAGTAACACATCAGAAAAACTTACTTTTTCATTTTTCCTCCTGCTGATGATTCTGTCTAAACCATTGAAAGCACCAGATGCAACAAACAGGATGTTTGTTGTATCAACTTGTACCGTTTCTCCACGTAGCTTGCGGGAATTCTTTTCGGGAACATTGACTATCGTGCCTTCTAGTAGTTTTAATAAGCCCTAAATAAAGAATGAATGATTTATAACATCATTATATAAGTGTATTATTTATTATACTTTAGATAATGGGATTCAATGGGGAAAATAATATGTGGTTATGCTCAATGAGCATAACTAAAGAAAACTCTCACATTTCTACAACACGAAAATCCAATGCACTACCATACTCTAAAAAAATTCATCAATTTATTTAGGTTACAGGACTCCTGATACATTCAGGAAACAGTCAATCTAAGAGGTTGTTTTTGATGGTAAAGATGTAATTCTGACATAAAGATAGAATTATGACTATCTAAGATGATATCCAATAATTGCAGGAACAATCAAAATCTGAAAATAGTTGAAGATTTGCCTTTCATATAAATTAAAATTTTATTCCACTCCTAGTATTAAACTTTGAGAATACCTATATTTTGAGATGCCTTTATAAAAAACTTATTCAGCACATTTTATAATCGCATCTCTCTATGTCTTGGTCAAAAAAAGAAACCAATTTTCAGTACTCTGTAGTTTACGTCATAGTTAGTTACCAGTAAAAGGTCAAGTGGACCAATATATCATTATGACTTTGATTATGACTCTACAAGGAATGAAACACTATTTTATCTATTTTATCCTATCTTCTAACTAAGTGAAAAGAATAAGATACATTTACATAGTTCATTTATGTCTAGAACCAGAACTTGTCTTCAAGGGTCCCCTAGAAATGTTTAACTGGGCCTTTGAGGAATAAAATTAACAAAAATTAAATTTTATTTTTTCTGTTCTTTAAAATATTTTTAATTTCCTAAGGAAGATAATTTGGTATTTAAAATCGCCAATAACTTTCTCTTAGGATCTGAACTACTTTAAAATGTTATTTGGAGTTTGGGAGTGAGAGAAATAAACAAAACAAAATCTAATTGAATGTGAAACCAAACGTACAATATTGGGAGGTTGATGTATTCCCTTCCTTTTAGTGGGCTTGAACAAAATATTCAACTGCTTACTTGCTGAACGCCTTCTCCACCTACATCCCGTAACTGATGAATGCCTGGCACACTGCCAATCTTATCTACTTCATCCAGAAAGACAATTCCTATAATTTAAGGAGGATTCTATTTATAATATGAAAAAGATACACACACACGATAACCTCAACTTTAAAAGACTAGGTAGGCAGAGAGCAAGGTTATTCAAGCTTTCACACTTAACACATTCAATGGCTTATTATAATAAAAATACACTGTCTCACTCCCATTCATCATTTTATGCAAACGTTTTATAATTTATTTTATAGAATATCACTTGGTATGATAACCACTTCTCTCTGAAAACAGTTATCTATCCCACTAATGTTTTCAGGTTCTTTATTCTATGAGCTGAGAGAGAGGGGCAGTGTGGAAGTAGGAGGTACATGCAGTGCTGGTACTAGCAGGACGCTGGCTTATTCTTTCCCAACTATGTTCTTGTCTTAAAGGAAGTTGGACAGGAAGCTGTCAAGCTCTTCATGTAAGACAGATGACAGAGGGGAAAGCAGAAATGCAGCATCTATGACATCCTGCAGGTCAGTAAGCTAATCTGTTTCTAGATTCATCCTGTACTCTCTTGCCCTTGTCCTTGCCCCCTCCCCCACCCCACTCCACCCTACCCCACCCCACCCCAGGAGTCTGGAGGGGAGTCAGAGCAGGAAAAAAAATGATAGTATTAAGGATCTAATGGAATTGTAATTTGGTCATTTTCACCCTAGTAGTCATCTAATGACAATTAGGCAAAGCAAACTTTGTGGCCCTTGAGTCACTATGCTAGAAAATGTTTAACATACCTTTTATATAGTTTTACTCCTTGATTCAAAATAATTATTTTAGCTCTTAATATTACTGCTTCCCCAACAGACTACATCTGGGGAAGGATAAGCTATGCTGAAAACATACCTTGTTGTGCTTTTTCTACACTATAATTGGCATCTTGGAGCAGTTTGGCAATCACAGATTCAATATCTTCACCTACATATCCAGCGTGAGTCAAAGTCGTACAGTCACAGATAGCAAAAGGGACATCAAGGCATTTAGCTAGAGTTTGTGCCAGCAGAGTTTTACCTACAAATAGAAACAGTAACTAAAAGTTTACCAAAAATATGTTCATATATAATTTCTCTACCAAAATGCAAAATGAATTTGAATAGTATGTAATAAAAAATTACTGTTTATCTTTTCTCCACTATTATTCAGATCTAATGGTATATTATTACTATCATCCCTGTTAAGATGTTAGAAATTGGCCTAAATAGCAATACCAAGGCCTCAAATTCAGCTTGAAGACTATGCAGAAATACTGAAAATGTATCTATAAGATTGGCCTTAGAGTTTTCCTCTCAAGAGCCAGGTTCTCCGATTCACAAGACACAGGTTACAGAATCATTTATACTCTATTTTTTAAAATGAGTAGTACATTTTTTCAGCAAGTTATTTACCTGACCCAGTTGGTCCAAGCAGCAAAATATTACTCTTTTCAAGTTTTATGTCATCATGGGAAGAATCCAATACTTCACCTCCTCGCTTTTCCTGAGGCATTTGATTTACTTGCTGCTGCATTGATGCTCCTAAAGCATTACCATGTGGACTAATTCCAGCAATCTGAAGCAATTCTGAAAAAAAGCCAAAGAAATTACTAGAACTTCATTTGATTTTACTTGAAGACATGCCCCCAAAAACCCTACATCTAAAACCAATCACTTATTTAGAAAAATTTAAATATTTCGACATTCTGTCTTACCTAAAAGGAAGAAAATTTCCAATTATCTAGTGACAAAGGTAAAAGACACATTGATTATTCAAGGAACCTCAAACAAAGGAAATAAAATTTTTATCCTTCCTGTCCTTATTTCTGTAAACCTGTATGAAAAATGCCCTTTCACTCAAGAGAAGGCAGTATAATGGAAGAACAGTGTTACGAGTCAGAAAGCTTTAGCTTTGGTCCTTCCTTTGTCTCTGAATAGCTATATGATTTTGGCTAAGTCAAATAAACTTACTGCTGTTTCCTAATCTACAAAATGGCAGTAATTCCTGTCCTATCAATTTCAAACACATGGTTGAAAGGTGTAAGAATAAAATGCGACTGATTTGGAGGCACTTTGAAAGATAAACAAAAGTATATTATTTTTTTCAGTACAAATGAAAAGAAGCAAGCTGTAGAGAAAGATAAAAACACTGAACTAAGAAATAGGGAACTAGAGTATTGGTTCTGTTGCTGTGTTGCTGTAGGACCATAGCAAGTCACTTAACTTTACTGGGCCTGCTTCCTTACCTATAAAGTGAAAATACTGAGACATATGACCTCTATAGTCTCTCCCACATGTAAAAATGATTCTATGAGCCTACCAGAGAAACCAAATATGGTACGATTCACTATCCCTGGCCCTATCTGAATCTCTGATTTCACAGAAACTCAACTGGATCTTTCTAGTCCCTTTAGGAAAGTACAATGCTTAACTAGACGGTATTGATATTGCTGGTGCACTGTTTATCAGTAGGGTCCCTAAAACAAAAATAAAACAAAAAATTTTTATATTTTCACTCTCGGCTGAAAGAAAGAATCCCAATAGTATTTTCAATTGTCCAGATTTGTAAATATCCATATTGCTCCTGGTTCTCAGCATTTGAGGTATCTGTGCTCATATCATACTTGCTTGTATTTTCTGAATTTATTTTTAGGTTGTTTCTAATAAAATGGGTTAAAAATATCAGTAGTTCTAATGCATTATTATTTTAATCAAATCAATAGATGTCCAACAGACAGAACTATTATTATTGTCCTATTCCATCTGGCTGTCACTTTTAAACTATCTTAGGGTCACACTTAAGGTAAAGGGTTATTCTATTCATCAAGAATAACAGGCATTCGGGCCGGTCGAGTAGCGCGTTGGTTAAGAGTTGGCTTGGGAGCGCCAGCTCTGAGCAGCAGGGCCCTGGTTCGGATTCCACATGAGGACCAGTGACGCTGAGCCCTCTACAGCTAGGATGGTGAACAACAGTTCGACCTGGAGCAGGGCTGCTGAGAGTCCTGGTGACAGCGTAGGCTGCAGTGAGGCTGCATTGGGCTGCCGTAAAGCTACCGTGAGTGGCTGGCAGCCAGCGTGAGTGGCCGGCAGCCTGAGTGAGCTGCCAAGAGCTGCCGTGAGTTGCTGGCCAGTGGCCGGCGACCAACTGCCTCACCCGGGAAGAGCGCAATGATAATACCAACATGGGCCAGTGACATCCTCCACAACTAGACTGAAGAACAAAAGGACAGCAAGTTGTCTGTTCCCCTCCCCCAATTCCCCAATAAAATCTTAAAAAAAAAAGAATAACAGGCATTCAATAAACATTTGTATTTAATTAAATTTTGCTACATGTGAGGGTTAATGATTAGTGACTAATTCACAATGCTACACCTCAGTACAATCTACATCAAGCAAAAAAATGCAGTCCCCTATTTGAGTGCAATTAGTTAGCTAGTTGTCCCTGGCAAAATTGTTTATTTTTATTTTTTTAATTTCAGCAAAATGTAGTTAGGAATTGTGACAATATAGGAAGGGGCTTGGCTCAAATGTATGTCTCACCAATGAGGAAAAAATTATTTAGGTGAATAATTTGAATAAAATTGCAAGAAGTAGATTAACTACAGTGGAGTAACATGATACATGTATTTAACTTACTCAATGGTTTAAGTTAAATAAAAAGAGGAATAATTTAAATAGTACAGAACAGACAATGTTAATCATTCCACTTTATGAAAATATGCCTCAGAGTAAACTTGAAATAACTCTCTTGTCCTTTCGTTAGTCTCTTCCTGGATATCCCTCACTGCATAAGCAACTCTCTATACTGAGCAGGACTATGTGCAGGCAGGCTAGCATAGTGGTTTTATTTGCATGAAACTCATCAGCTTCGTGGCCTGGGACAAATTACTTAAAATTTCTGTGCTTCAGTTTTCTCACCTGTAAAATGGAGGTGAAAATAACAGTTTCTGCCTTACAAGTTTTGGAAAGATTAAATGAGTTAATATATGTAAAACACTTAGAACAGTGCCTGGCAGATAGTTTTGTGTCGTTGAATAATTTACTAATAGTATTACCATTTTCTTACTGTTTAAATATTTGTATAATATAGCGCTCAAACGCAGCCAACTATTTCATCTGGTGCTCAATTTAAGAAAAACATACAATCCAAACATGGAGAAAAAAACAAACCTTCAGTCTTATTCAGAGTAGTATGTTGGTCTCTAAGATGTGATTTCCAAAGAAACTTTCAAGGATATTTTGTTATATATGATTTTGGCCTAATACCCTATCTTTGGAACTTAAAACCCCACATATGACAAGACTAAACTATACATAAAAATAAATTTTACTTAAGCTTTAAAACTATTAATTTCCAAGTCAATCAATATATGTAATTATAAATTGCTTTTACCTAAATTCTTAAGTACTATTACTTATTAACATTTAAATTACATTAAATCACTACATATATTTCTTTCAAAATATTCACAATAGACTTTTACTTCACTAGCCATCTGCCCAAATTTATGAATATATTATCACCAGATATTTGATTATATTTTTGGATTATAAAATATATATTATATATGCACTTAAAGTGTATTATTTAGATTTTACATTCTTATATATAATCTAATTCTATTGCACTTGCTGTGTTCCTTAATTTTATCATGCATGGTATAATAATTTCCATACAGCTTAAAAATAACTAGAGATAATATTTTTATTACATATAATAAATCTCATACCAGAGTTGGTAAACTAGTTATGTTCTTGTGCTGCATCCTGTATGTACAGAGGGTGCAAAAAAAAATGTATACACATTTTAAGAAAGGAAAAAACTGTATTAGAATTGTAATACTCAATATATACCGATAACAAAAGATGAATACAAGTCATGC